GGCATTCTCGAGCTTTACATTTATACCCCTCCCTGGTCATTTGTCCAAGTTTCCACTTTTTGTAAGCTCTCTTTTTGTGCTTAAATTCATCAAGGATATCCCCTGTAAGCCAATCCAGTCTCCTACCATGTTTGCTTCTCTTGCTACACATCGGAATGGTTTCTTTCTGTGTCTTCAATGAGGCTTCTTTAAAATACTGACAGCTCTCCTGGACTCCTTTCCCCTTCATGTAAGCATCCCAGGGAATCTTGCCCATAAGGTCTCTGAGGAAGTCAAAGTCTGCTTTTCTGAAGTCCAAGGTATGTATTTTACTACTCTCTTTTCTTCCTTTGCTCAGGATTCTGACATCTACTATCTCATGATCACTCCTTGTGAGGTTGTCACCCACCTCTACTTCCCCTGTTAGTTCCTCTCTGTTTGTAAGCAATGAGTTTCAGAGCTAAGAATTAGAAGAAGGAGGTTAATATGGCATATTAAGAACAAGTGAAATCCTAGGAAAGGTTTAGCCAATTCCTAGAGATAAAAAGGAAACTTCTGAACTAGCAAAACAGGTCTATGTGTTGAAGAAATAGTTGTGTTCGAATTTGGAATGTAGGAATATTACGTCCTTGCATCAAATGAGGAGGTAAAATGAAATATACACTATGGGTGTGTCTACACTGGGCCACTTATTCCGGAAAATAAGCCGCTTTTCTGGAATAAGCTGCTATCTGTCTACACTGGCCCTTGAATTTCCGGAAAAGCAACGATGCTCTACTGTACAAAGTCATCCACTATTCCAGAAAAACTATCTTGCTCCTACTCGGGCATAAGTCCTTATTCCGGAACACTGTTCCGGAAAAAGGCCAGTGTAGACATCCCAGTAGTCTTTTCCGGAAAAAAGCCCCGATCGCGAAAATGAAGATCGGGTCTCTTTTCCGGAAAAGCGGGTCTACATTGGCCACAGATGCTTTTCCGGAAAAAGGGCTTTTCCGGAAAAGCAGCCTGCCAATGTAGACGCTCTTTTTCCGGAAATAGTTATAACGAAAACTATTCTGTTTTAAGCATTTCCGGAAATTAATGCCAATGGAGACACAGCCTATTAGCATCCAAGAAGGATTAACACAACATTAGCAGTTGAACATTAAAGTTAATAACACCAGAGTTAAACATGAGCCAATCAATGAGACATCTCATTTTCATCCAGAAGTCAGTAATCCTGCCACAAATGAACTACAAATATATACGTGAAAGAATATCGTTCAGATAAGACGAGTATTAAAAGTCCAATTCCAAAATAAATAGGGGATGGCAGGTGGAAAAGAAGGGAAAATAGTGAATAGTGAATCGCTCTTTCTGCCATTCTCCAAAGCATTAATGAATAGTTTGGATTAGGCTGGTCAAAGTACAAACTGGGGCAAGACAATCATTCCATTCTAAAAACTGACCAGTTATTCCTTCCATTTGTTTTCTATCTTTTAACCAATTACCACTCCATGAAGGGTCCTTCCCTTTTATCCCATGATAACTTACATTAAGAGCCTTTTCTGAGGGACTTGTAAAAGCTTTCTAGAAATGTAAATCGACTATGTCTACTGGATCCCATTGCCCACAGGTTTGTTGATGCCCTCAAAAAGTTACTACGTTGTTCATAGATGATTTCCCTTTATAAAACTCATGTTGAGTTTTCCCTCTAACAAATTATGTTCAGCTCTGTGTCTGACAATTCAATTCTTTGTTATAGTTTCTAGGAATGTGGCCATATTGAACTAAGATTTACTGGGATGGAAGTTCCAGGATGACTTCTACGGTCCTTTTAAAAAACGGCATCACATTAGCCATTCTACCGTAATTTGGCACAGAAGTTGATATAAAGTATGGGTTACAAACTACAGTTCTTACAAAACTCTTAGGTAAATGTCATCTGGTCGTCATGCAGTATAATGTTCCATTTAATCACTTTGTTTGTGTCTCATCAGTTTCAAGCACATTAGGAAAATAGAGGCAGGCCCAACAGGGGCACACAGAGTACTCAAAAGTCTTTCAAGTGCTCACTAAAGGTTCAAAGGATTGACATAGTAGGACTGCTCTTTTTGTTCAATTTGGCTCAGGAGGTCCCACCAGATGCCGGAGAACTCTCTCAATGGGGATTCCCACTACAGACAAGGGGACCTCCGGAGCTTCTGACACTCCCAATGGGGCAGCTAGCTGGTGCATGGGAAGGAACTACTATCATCTCTCACCTCACGATAGACTCCCAGCCAGAAGAAGTGAGACTTGAGTCAGTGTCTTCTATTGCCCTTAATAGCCAGATGGTGTAATGTTCTTGGAGAGCTTCTGGGTGTGCCAAAGACAGCAGGGGACAACCAGCTGGGTCCTGGCTTCCTGAGTTTGGGGGGTTCCAATCCATGTGATGATGGGG